GACGGCGTAAGCATGTGTACAATATGGCCTATTAGATTTGAAAAGCTTATAAATAGATTGTCCATGATTTTGATCTGGCAATGGTTCACCCGAACTCCCTTCCCAATTACTGCAATGACCAAGGTATAGAATTTCCCAATTAGCCGGTAATATGTGATGGATATCAGTCATAATTGACTTGATATTTAATTCAATATCTATATCATCTTCTAAAATTAATGCACTTCTATAATTATGATCTAAAATTGATTGATAAATATTATGATTAATATAAGCTTTTTGTAATGGTTGCGATTCACTATCAAGTTGGGAAGTGGTTGAAAAGAATTCGATTTCTAAATTTAATTTATTTCCGATTGATTTTAATTTTTCATGTGCTCCTGGTCGACTTGAAACATTTGTAACGTAAATATGATCAAAGCCAAGGGTCGCATCTAAATTTTCTAAATTTTTATATAAAGAAAACTTATTGAAAAATTCCGTAAGTGGTTGTTGCGAGTATAAGTACCAAAGACAAACATATATAAATGCTGCTAAAATAATGATCAATGTTAAGCCTTTGATTTGGATATTTAAACGTCGCATCATAATCATAATAAATGTGTATTGTAAATTTAAATAAACTATAAACAATGTTTTAAAGGTTTCTTTGAATTTTTTAGAATTTAAATATTCTTCTACATAAATACTATTTTTCACAAATAGATAGGTGTTTCTGAAAAACCGAAATTTTCATTAGAAACTTAGCCATCTTAATAGAATCGTTTCAAAATTTATTCTATATTTTAGTATTAGCGCTTATTAGGTAAGATTATACGGGAAATTCGAATTATATGCTTTATATAGGTTATCCGGTATTAGCTTACATCTATCTATCCAGAATTGATTAATCTTGCAATCAAAATGTAGTAGATCGACCAAAATTTTAGATCGGTTCGGGATTATTCAAATTATAGGTAATCCGGTGTCTACTACCCAGAAAAGATTAATCGTACGACCAAAATTCAGCAGATCGACCAAAATCCGAGGTCAAACTAGTGATTATTCATATCATGTGACTAAATTTATAAAGAAATAAACACGATGATGATTTGTTGTCGTTTGCAAAATTATGTGAAATTTGAATATCATTAAAAAAAAAAGTAATTACTAATTTCCAATTACTGATTTCCGATTTCTTCAATATTTTTTTTGACTTTTAGACTAGACAAAATTTGTGAATGTTTGTAAAATTTTGATTGAATATTTTAATACGCAATTCCTATTTCTGCATATATATTACAAATGATGAATATTGTGACGACGGATATTGTGATACCGAAGATCGTGACCGATCACGTGAAAAA